GCCCAAGAGGGCCCCTAGACGGCCCAAGGCGCCCAAGACGGCCCAAGAGGGCCCCAAGACGGCCCCGAGAGGGGGACCACGAACATAAATGTCTAGCCTTTCGCCCCAAGACGCTCCCAGGAGGCCCCAAGAGCCCCCCAAGAAGCCCCCCAAGAAGCCCCAAGAGGCCCCCAAGAGGCGTCCCAAGAGGCCACCAGGAGGCCTCATTGATTTCCTATGGGGGAATGTACATTTTTAGCATGCACGGCGTTTCGGCTTTCACGGCGTTGACGACGGTCCAAGAGGCCTCAAAGACCGCCCCAAGGCGGCCCAAGAGACTCCCAAGAGGCCCCCAAAACGGCCCAAGAGGGCACCTAGACGGCCCAAGAGGCGCCCAAGACGACCCAGGAGGGCCCCAAGACGGCCCCAATAGGGGAACCACGAACCGAAAGTCTAGCCTTTCGCCCCACGAATCTCCCAGGATGCCCCAAGAGCCCCCCAAGAAGCCCCAAGAGGCCCCCAAGAGGTTCCCCAGAGGCCTCCCAAAGGGTTTTAAAATGGCCCCAATAGGACTCCCAAGAAGGCCCAGAGACGCCAAATAAAGAGCGATCGGTAACGCAACATGATGGACCCACGAACCCGGAAAGGGATATAGACATGTGGAGCATGGGCAAGTTTTCACAATACCCAACGGGGCAACACCTCACGAAACATCCCACGAGACACCTCACGAAACATCCCACGAGACACCTCACGAAACATTCCGCGAGACACCTCACGAAACATTCCACGAGACACCCCGCGAAACATTCCACGAGACACCCCCCGAAACATTCCACGACGACAGGCAACCACTCAACCAAGGCGGTGTGGTCGTGCTGGGGAGTGGTCGTGCTGGGGTGTGGTCGTGCTGGGGGGTGGTCGTGCTGGGGTGTGGTCGTGCTGGGGGGGTGGTCGTGCTGGGGGGTGGTTGTGCTGGGGGGTGGTCGTGCTGGGGCGTGGTCGTGCTGGGGCGTGGTCGTGCTGGGGTGTGGTCGTGCTGTGGTGAGGTCGTGCTGGGGTGTGGTCGTGCTGGGGTGTGGTCTTGCTAGGGTGGGGTCGTGCTGGGGTGGGGTCGTGCTGGGGTGGGGTCGTGCTGGGGTGTGGTCGTGCTGGGGTGTGGTCGTGCTGGGGTGGGGTCGTGCTGGGGTGTGGTCGTGCTGGGGTGTGGTCGTGCTGGGGTGTGGTCGTGCTAGGGTGGGGTCGTGCTGGGGTTGGGTCGTGCTGGGGTGTGGTCGTGCTGGGGTGTGGTCGTGCTGGGGTGTGGTCGTGCTGGGGCGTGGTCGTGCTGGGGTGGGGTCGTGCTGGGGTGGGGTCGTGCTGGGGTGTGGTCGTGCTGGGGTGGTCCGCACCCTGTGATTCATCGATTGGGTCGTGCTGGGGTGTGGTCGTGGTGGGGTGTGATCGTGGTGGGGTGTGGTCGTGTTGGGGTGTGGTCGTGCTGGGGTGTGGTCGTGCTGGGGTGTGGTCGTGCTGGGGTGTGGTCGTGC